TCCCACCCACCAATCCGTATTATCTCCCACCCACCAATCAGTATTATCTCCCACCCACCAATCATTATTATCTCCCACCCACCAATCAGTATTATCTCCCACCCACCAATCAGTATTATCTCCTACCCACCAATCAGTATTATCTCCCACCCACCAATCAGTATTATCTCCCACCCACCAATCAGTATTATCTCCCACCCACCAATCAGTATTATCTCCCACCCACCGATCAGTATTATCTCCCACCCACCGATCAGTATTATCTCCCACCCACCAATCAGTATTATCTCCCACCCACCAATCAGTATTATCTCCTACCCACCAATCAGTATTGTCTCCCACCCACCAATCAGTATTATCTCCTACCCACCAATCAGTATTATCTCCCACCCACCAGCGTTAAGTTGTTGTTTTTTTTTGTGTTTTTTTTTTCTCTTTGGGGGGTGGGGTTTTAGTTGCGTTATATCTCATTTTCTGTTTCGGGTTGATCCTGAAGTGTCAAAGTGTCCTCGTTTTATAGCCATTTTCATTGTTTCTATAGAATAGTAGTTACTATCCTAGTGTCTCATTTGTATTTACTTAGTTTACATGTTTTAATAATTGTAAAGCGCTTAGAGCTTTATGATAAGCGCTATATAAAAATGCCTAAATAAATAAATATCTTTTGGAGTTTATGACAGTAATTGAGAACCATTCTCCCATTGACTGAATGAATGAGGGCAAGCAGAAAGTGTGAGGCCAGTCAGGGACTTATGACAGTAATTGAGAACCATTCTCCCATTGACTGAATGAATGAGGGCAAGCAGAAAGTGTGAGGCCAGTCAGGGACTTATGAAAGTAATTGAGAACCATTCTCCCATTGACTGAATGAATGAGGGCAAGCTGAAAGTGTGAGGCCAGTCAGGGACTTATGAAAGTAATTGAAAACCATTCTCCCATTGACTGAATGAATGAGGGCAAGCAGAAAGTGTGAGGCCAGTCAGGGACTTATGAAAGTAATTGAGAACCATTCTCCCATTGACTGAATGAATGAGGGCAAGCAGAAAGTGTGAGGCCAGTCAGGGACTTATGAAAGTAATTGAAAACCATTCTCCCATTGACTGAATGAATGAGGGCAAGCAGAAAGTGTGAGGCCAGTCAGGGACTTATGAAAGTAATTGAGAACCATTATGGTGGTCCATTAGAAGGGCATGCTGCAGTCCAAGAGGCTGGTGACGTGTATGGGGAAAGTAAAACGGGGGGGGGGAGGGGTGGGGGGTGAGACGGATTCTTAAGGGCAGTCGATGGTCCAATGGGATTACATTTGGATGTTTGTGTGTGTTCCTGGGAGTTGGGGTTACATAGTTAAGTGTCCCAGTTACTGGTAAAGAAATGGTATGGGTGGTAAGGGGCAACTCTCTCTCTCTCTCTCTCTCTCTCTCTCTCTGTCTCTCTCTCTCTCTCTATTAGAATGGCACGCAGAGATCCAAACACAATTATTTCATGTTATGATCGGCTCTCGAGCAATGTTACTGTTGGCTGGCCTGTATCGTTGCGCGCACTTTAGAGGTTGTTATCGCTTCGACCTTATTTTTCGCCTGAAATTGTATCATTGGCCTCATTTGTATCATAAGCCTGATTTGTATCATTTGCCTGAATTGTATCATTCGGCTGATTTGTATCATTTGCCTGAATTGTATCATTCGCCTGATTTGTATCATTAGTCGGAATTGTATCATTCGGCTGATCCCCCTTCTTCATTCATCACACACTCTGCTTCATTCCAACCATCATTTATTCCTCCACTCTTGCAAATTCTACCCCTCCCTCATTCCACCCCCTTTTATTCCTTCCCTCTTCTCCATCGTTCTCATCCATCATTCTTCCCCTCATTTATTCCTCCTCTCATTTATTCCTCCTCTAATTTATTCCTCCTCTCATTTATTCCTCCTCTTATTTATTCCTCCTCTCATTTATTCCTCCTCTCATTTATTCCTCCTCTCATTTATTCCTCCTCTCATTTATTCCTCATCTCATTTATTCCTCCTCTCATTTATTCCTCCTCTCATTCCTTCCTTTCCCACCTCCACCATTCTACCTCTCCCTCAACCTTGATTTCTCCCATTACTATCTTGGCTTACGTCTGACAGACTTAGATTGAAATCTACTACCCAGAACCACACGCCTCCAACAGTCTACTCACTCCCTTCTGTCTTCGGGCGGTATCGAGTACTGGGAGGGTGGGTGGGGCATTAGGTATCGGCTACTCTCTGGCGTGACGTGAAGTTTGATTCAATCTGTGGTGATGCTGACCTCACCACGCCACCAGCTTCTCCTATATTCAATTTAGTTTGATAAATTTCTGACTCGGGGGCCTCAAAAAACAACAATCAGACAGACAGCGGTATAATTTAAAGTGAATGATTGTATGTGGGGGTGGGGGGGGGGGCTAAACGCGTCAGAATTTTACCATTCATTAGAATTTGTGCACAGACGATAGTTGAAATTTGTTTTACTTGATGTGGCTTTGAAATAGCCTCAAACCTACTGGACAATACAAAAGTGGGGTCGCGAAGTGTTTTCTGCGTGTGTGTGTGGGAAAAGGGCCGGGAGGGGGGGGGGGTCCACGGGCTTGAAAAGGGAGGGCCGAAAAGAAAAACAAAATGTTAAATGTTATTTTCATGTTTTTTAAATGGGTTACACATATCTGTGAGAGAGTGTTATCTACACATATCTGTGAGAGAGTGTTATCTACACATATCTGTGAGAGAGTGTTATCTACACATATCTGTGAGAGAGTGTTATCTACACATATCTGTGAGAGAGTGTTATCTACACATATCTGTGAGAGAGTATTATCTACACATATATGTGAGAGTGTATTATCTACATATATCTGTGAGAGAGTGTTATCTACACATATCTGTGAGAGTGTATTATCTACATATCTCTATGAGAGAGTATTATCTACATATCTCTATGAGAGAGTATTATCTACATATCTCTATGAGAGAGTATTATCTACACATATCTGTGAGAGAGTATTATTTACACATATCTGTGAGAGAGTATTATCTACATATCTCTATGAGAGAGTGTTATCTACATATCTCTATGAGAGAGTATTATCTACACATATCTGTGGGAGAGTATTATTTACACATATATGTGAGAGAGTATTATCTACACATATCTCTATGAGAGAATATTATCCACACATATCTGTGAGAGAGTATAATTTACACATATATGTGAGAGAGTATCATCTACACATATTACTATGAGAGAATATTATCCACACACATCCGTGAGAGAGTGCTATCCACACATATCCGGGAGAGAGTGCTATCCACACACATCCGTGAGAGAGTGCTATCCACACATCTTAATGATCAAAAGAAGGATGACAACGTTAAAAAGAAAGTTTCAGATCCTGCTAGTAACTTGATTGGGAAGAAGAAAATACATCTGTATGCTGGACTATTATTGGTCACGTACTTTTTCCCGACAAAAAGAACTACGGTACTATTGATATTTGGACGTGCCATGTTTTGTACTTGCCCCCCCCCTCCTAAAGTGCCGTTTTTTTTTTGTTGTTTTTTTTTATCGTCGCTATCTGAGATGATGTATTCGTCTAACGAGTTATTTAAAAGATCGAATCAACCAGTGAAATGTTGATAATCTCAATGTCATTACATCACTCGGCAGACCATTGGGTATCGAGCTTCACGATCTCATCATTGCCGGACGATACTTCTTATAAGGTGCTCGCCCCAAATGTGCTTGGATCACGTGTGATATCTTTAGCGCCCATCGCGCGCCCCGTGCCCACCCACGGGATGGGTTGGGGATGGGGGCGTGGGGGGGGGGTGGGTCCTTCGGCAGCCCCAGTGGCTGCGTGTAGTTACAGAGGCAGACATAAAAACAGACTTTTGAAAATGGAGCTTGAGATGCTAGACCCGAGGCCTAGGACCAAGATAAAAAATAGATTGTATCAAAGCGTTTGTTGGTGTAAGGTGGGGTTGAATTTCATTGTACTCCCCCCGCCCCCCGGGGTGCTGTTGTGTGTGTGCCTCTACATAAACAGACGGATATCAAGTAGTACTTGTGAATTGCAAAGATTAGTGAGGCTTTAATGAAGTTGTGTGTGTCTGTGTGGGGGGGGGGGGCGGACGACAAGTTACGTAAAGAAAGATAGACGATATTTGTGAAGAGAGGGATATGACAAAAGAAGGCAAGTTGCATATTGAGTTACCCCCGGGGTGCTGTTGTGTGTGTGCCTCTACATAAACAGACGGATATCAAGTAGTACTTGTGAATTGCAAAGATTAGTGAGGCTTTAATGAAGTTGTGTGTGTCTGTGTGGGGGGGGGGGGGCGGACGACAAGTTACGTAAAGAAAGATAGACTATATTTGTGAAGAGAGGGATATGACAAAAGCAGGCAAGTTGCATATTGAGTTATGAAAGAATTGTCTTTATTAAAAAATTGGAAAGTGGGATGTTGGGTTATGAATGAATTGTCTTGATCCTGGTAATATATGAATATTGTCTTGCAATCACGTGATCTGTGATTTTAAAACATGGTTTCACCGAACAATATCGGAATTTTTACAATTATTTTTGTTTAGTTTAATACCATACCATGTTCTCATATTAAAATTATATACATTCTATTTTAAGAATTTGACAACTTATTTACAAAAATTAATTTAGTTTTTCAATATGACCGTATAATTTAAAGATTTCAAATTATTGGAATAGGAATCCAAAAGAAAAGGGAAAAAAAGCTACCGTTGGGGCTGGAGATGTTTCTACCTTCAGTTTGAGAGATCAACGGACGCCATTTTGTTAATTTTGTAAGAAATTGGATTGTAATTCTATCTAATGGACTTGTGCTGCAAGTGATTGGGTCAAGTCTGTGAATGGACATGACTTCTCTCGACCGGCTTTTTTCCGAGCGGCACCCAAAGCTTGTCATTTATTAAATACGCTCTGATATTTGAACGTGTTCTTTTCCGGCAGCTTGTTTCGGGACGGCACTCGGCCTGACCAACCAAGGGGATGCGGCGTTTCGGTTTGAACAGTACAAGAAAAGGTACACCAACTGCACGCAGGTCATCGGCAACCTGGAGATTGTCTTCCTGGAACAACCTGGTTTCGACTTAAGCTTTCTGTCCACCATTCAGGAGGTTGAAGGTCAGTAAGGTTTTACACACCCAAAAAAAGTACATAAAAAAATAAATCAATTATAAATTTACTAACGTACGCATCAGTATATGGTACTTAAAAATAAGCAATCACTTGTCAATGCTAATACATTTTTTTCTTAATCAGCATTCACCTTTTAATTTTGGTTTATTTAAAAATTATTAATCACATTTTAATGCAAAACAATAATAATAACAACAATTTTGATCAGCATTGACATGACGTTTATTCAGTTTTAGTTTAGAACACCGGAAAGGATTTTTAAATATAAGGCCGGCAAAGTTTTAAAAAAAAAAAATGAGAATTTCAATCAAACGGAAGCCATTTGATAGCATTTGTACCTGGTCTAAAAAGTGTAAAAGTGCCTTAAAATATAATATTGACAGGAATTTCATGAAATGATGTTCTGTTTATTGTTTTGTGATCAGGTTATGTTCTCCTGGCCGGCAATGCCGTGGATTACATCCCCTTGACCAGCCTGCGCATCATCCGTGGGGAGATGCTGTTCAAGAAGGAGAAAGTCAACAGCAGCTACAGCCTGTTTGTGGCCTTGAACTCCTCCCCAAATAATTCAGAATTTGGACTGAAGGAACTCAGATTTGTAAACCTTACGGGTAAGGTGGCCTCTCATGTCTTTGGTATGACAGTACGGCTGTCTACCACGGGTAAGGCGGCCTCTCATGTCTTTGGTATGACAGTACGGCTGTCTACCACGGGTAAGGCGGCCTCTCATGTCTTTGGTATGACAGTACGGCTGTCTACCACGGGTAAGGCGGCCTCTCATGTCTTTGGTATGACAGTACGGCTGTCTACCACGGGTAAGGCGGCCTCTCATGTCTTTGGTATGACAAAACCTTACGGGTAAGGTGGCCTCTCATGTCTTTGGTATGACAGTACGGCTGTCTACCACGGGTAAGGCGGCCTCTCATGTCTTTGGTATGACAGTACGGCTGTCTACCACGGGTACGGCGGCCTCTCATGTCTTTGGTATGACAGTACGGCTGTCTACCACGGGTAAGGCGGCCTCTCATGTCTTTGGTATGACAATGCGGCTGTCTACCACGGGTAAGGCGGCCTCTCATGTCTTTGGTATGACAGTACGGCTGTCTACCACGGGTAAGGTGGCTTCTCATGTCTTTGATGTGACAGTACGGCTGTCCTCTACGGGTAAGGTGGCTTCTCATGTCTTGGTATGACAGCATGGCTGCCTACCACGGGTAAGGCGGCCTCTCATAAGCTGTGTCTTCGGTATGACAGTCCTCTAGACACTTGTTTGTTTTAAACACTTACATTGTAAGGAAATTCTTGTCGGTTTATTGAAAACATGCAGCCAATTGGTTTTAAATATATTTTTGAAATTAAAATATTGAAATAAATTACCTTTAAAAAGAAAAAAGTGGTAATTTTATCCACAACAAACAATTATAATCATAATGAAACATTTTTAATTTGAAAAAAAGAGCAGATAATTCATGTCTTAAACTTTGATTTTCAGAAATTTCCAAAGGGCAGGTGTTTTTCCAGGACAACAGTCACCTGTGTTATGAGGAGTCGATCATCTGGGATGACATCAACCCCAACACACCCTCCCCCGTTAACTTCAATATCCATAAGTCAGCCAAGCTATGTACGTTCATTTAATTTTTTCCTTTTAATACCCTGCCTTGAATCACAAAACTTAATTACCGATACAACTAATAAATTGATTGGCATGTATGTAAGAATAAAAGTATAAGGAAGTACAGCATGGCTTTATGGCTTTTATTTCTAGAAAGTTCTCCCGTTATAATAATATGATAAAAGATGTCATGCAGAATCCCATCCTTAGCTATGTTGTCATCAATTTTTTAATGATGAATCCCATCCTTAGCTATGTTGTCATCAATTTTTTAATGATGAATCCCATCCTTAGCTATGTTGTCATCAATTTTTTAAATGATGAATCCCATCCTTAGCTGTGTTGTCATCAATTTTTTAATGATGAATCCCATCCTTAGCTATGTTGTCATCAATTTTTTAATGCCTAGAAATGGTGTGTGTGTAAATATATGTCTATTTACATATAAATTTATACATATACACGGACCATTTTTCTGAGTTCTTTTAAATAAAATGTACGCTTTATTATCATCTGACTAATTTCAGGTCCGCCTTGCCACATGAGCTGTTATAATAACGTGACTGGCTTGGCCTCATGTTGGGGTGAGGGACCAAACATGTGTCAAAAACGTGAGTACCCAGCTATGGCCAGTTGACATACAAGTCTGAAAGCAGTGTCATCTCTGCCCTTTTAGGCAGTGTCATCTCTGCCCTCTTAGGCAGTGTCATCTCTGCCCTTTTGGCTCATTTAGCTGTGGGTTAATTAATCTCATATTCTTTACGTGTGTTGTGTGTGCGTGCGTGTGTTTGGGGGGTGGGTGGTAATAAATTAAATTTAAGTTGTTATTTTAGAGAAGCTAATTTTATTTGTTGATTTTGTAGTTTTATTGTTTGAATGAAACTTTGTTAGCTCACTTGAATTATTGCTCACTTGAATTATTGCTCACTTGAATGATTAATTATGAAAGATAACACATACAGGACACATTTTTTTCCAAGAAATTTGAAAACTTTAAGACAACATATTAAAAGAAACTTTTTTAAAAAAAATTGTTTAGCAAAACATTATGTCAGTTTACCTTGATGTCTGCTCAATAATTTCAGCATACATTTGTTGTAAATTCACAGCAGCCATTTTCTTAAACGGGTTGTATAGCATTTTGCAACTGATCAGTTGCAAGGCTCTAGATACATTTTAACTCAACACTGTACTTCCTTTAGTTACCCGCAAAATTTGCCATGGAAACTGTGCATCTAAGAGTCGTTGTTACGGCAACAACTCTAACGAATGCTGTTCTCCTGAGTGTGCCGGGGGCTGCACAGGGCCTCACAAAAATGAATGTTTTGTAAGTATTTGTTCCTAGACTAGAAAATGTTTTAAAACATTGGTTTAGTGTCTCCCACTGATCAGATCTTAAGATTTGTTTTGTAACCATTACCCTCCCAGCCAAGCCCACTTCATCCACCTTCACCATTCACATTTACCATCCACCTTCACCATCCACCTTCACCATCCACCTTCACCATCCACCTTCACCATCCACCTTCACCATCCACCTTCACCATCCACCTTCACCATTCACATTTACCATCCACCTTCACCATTCACATTTACCATCCACCTTCACCATTCACATTTACCATCCACCTTCACCATTCACATTTACCATCCACCTTCACCATCCACCTTCACCATCCACCTTCACCATTCACATTTACCATCCACCTTCACCATTCACATTTACCATCCACCTTCACCATCCACCTTTTTTGTTTATGTTTTTTAAGTGCGACTAGATTGTTGAATTAATTGTTTGATTGATTTCATCATGTGGATTTTCCCAGGCCTGCCAACATTTCAAGGATAACGGTGAATGTGAACCATCTTGTCCCAAACCCCTTATCTATGACAAAAGCCTGATGATGAATGTTAAAAATCCAAATGCCAAGTACCAGTTTGGCCCAAACTGTGTCGACTCTTGTCCAAGTAAGTTAAAGTTTCGCCTCGGTCAATAAATGTGCTCCGGTCTTGGAAAAAAATGATCGGTATATTCTATCTAGTTTTCATGCTTTAAGATTCTGACTTACTTTTATTCTATCTATCCTTCATGTTGCAAGATTCTGACTTTTATTCTATCTAGCCTTCATGTTGCAAGATTCTGATTTACTTTTATCTATCTAGCCTTCATTTTTGCAAGATTCTGACTTTTATTCTATCTAGCCTTCATGTTGCAAGATTCCAATTTACTTTTATCTATCTAGCCTTCATGTTGCAAGATTCTGATTTACTTTTATCTATCTAGCCTACATGTTGCAAGATTCTGATTTACTTTTATCTATCTAGCCTTCATGTTGCAAGATTCTGACTTACTTTTATTCTATATAGCCTTCATGTTGCAAGATTCTGGGAGTTGTGTGAAAAAATGTACAGAGGGAAAACATGCTGCCGATAACAGAAATTGTGAAAATTGTGTTGGGCCTTGTCCAAGAAGTGAGTAGATTCTCCACAATTTGTTTATGGTTTTCCTGTTCAAGATGAAATGCTGCGCCTGATTCTGAATTCCATGTTACAGATTCCATCAAGACTACACCTACCATTCTGTTACACCTATCATCATTTCATTATGGCCATCATTTTATTATGGCAGGGCAGATATTTTATATTATTTCATTATTTTATTTTGGGGGGGGGGGAGGTATAGTTCTCTTGCCCCTATAGTTCAATTGCCCCTATAGTCTAATGTCCCAATAGTTCTATTTCCCCAGGAAAATGAATAAGGAACTAAAACTGTGTTAGTTAAAATAACTTGTATTTTATTGTCTCAAATACACTATGTCTAGACCACACCATCACTCAACCACACTATGTTTCAACCACACCATCACTCAACCACACCATGACTCAACAACACCGTGACTCAACCACACTGCGACTCAACAACACATCACTCAACCACACTATTCTCAACCACTTATGATTCAACCACACCATCACTCAACCACACTATAACTCAACCACACCATGACCCAACCACACCATGACCCAACCACACCAGACCCAACCACACCATGACCCAACCACACCATCACTCAATCACACCATCACTCAACCACACCATCACTCAACCACACCATGACTCAACCACACCGTCACTCAACCATGCCATCACTCAACCACGCCATCACTCAACCACACCATCACTCAACCACACCTTCACTCAACCATAAGGTAGTGATGACCCATTTATTCCCAGTACAGTATAGCTGTATCACTGTAAGACATGTCAACAAAATTGCCAGTCTTAATGACAACATTTTAATTTCTTCAATAAGTATCAACATTGCATATTATCATAGAAGGAACATTTCTCATTCTAATTACACATTGATAAAATGGCCAATTATTTATTTAGTTTTTAAAATATTATTGAAAACACAAAAATGAATATGAACATTCTTTGAACATTCTTGATTTGTACACAAAAAAAAATAAACCACAGCTTGCAAAATGACTGCACACTTGGACGCTATGACGCTGCCCCATTTAGAAAACTGTACAATTATCGATGGTAATTTAATAATGCTTGGTACCACCCTGTTAGGGTAAGTTGAAACGCTTGGCAGCATTTTCAGAATGATCCTCAGTAGTCAACCCCTTTGTTATTTATGATAGAATGCATTGAGCCGTGACAGCACCATGTCCTTGTTAGTCATGATTTAACATTACTTGTATCCAGTCTGTCAAACTAGCAGCCATTTTTTAATTTAAACAAATTATTTTTTTTTTTCTTTTAACAGTGACATGACCTTGTTGATGCTTGATTTAGTCTAGTGTATGCTCACTGTTGTCTGTCATTCCACTTTGATATTGGGGGGGGGGGGGGGGGGGGGGGTGGGGGTGGCAACAAGACGCATGTGATATTTTTATTCTATTTCACATGTGAGATATAATGTCTGCATTAAAACTTATGATGCAATTTTAGATTCTCTCCAATTGCGAAAAGTTAAAAGACCTATTACAAATTAGAATTTTTTATGTATCAAAACTTTTGAATGAGCTATATTGATGGGGACCTAATTAATAAGTATCTCGTTAGTTATATCTAAATGAATCTATTATGATTTTTTCTTTTATGGGGGGATTTTAAAAGGCCCCCCCCCCCCCCCCCAAACCTCTTTCCACACACACACACCCAAACCAATGCAAATTCACAATGTGAATCCTCTTTGTAAATCCTCTCATCTACCTCTACATACAGCATGTTCACACCAACACATTAAAACAACATATTCCTAGCCTCTGTTACACTGACGTAGTCCTACCTCCTGTTACATTGACATATTCCTACCCTCTGTTACACTGACATATTCCTACCTCCTGTTACACTGACATATTCCTACCTCCTGTTACACTGACATATTCCTACCGTCTGTTACACTGACATATTCCTACCTCCTGTTACACTGACAAATTCCTACCTCCTGTTACACTGACATATTCCTACCCTCTGTTACACTGACATATTCCTACCTCCTGTTACACTGACATATTCCTACCCTCTGTTACACTGACATATTCCTACCTCCTGTTACACTGACATATTCCTACCCTCTGTTACACTGACATATTCCTACCCTCTGTTACACTGACATATTCCTACCCTCTGTTACACTGACATATTCCTACCCTCTGTTACACTGACATATTCCTACCCTCTGTTACACTGACATATTCCTACCCTCTGTTACACTGACATATTCCTACCCCCAGTTACACTGTTACTGCTAAATGCCTCACGTATTATATACACTTGAATTATTAATTAATTGTTTGTTAATAACTCGAGGGTTTGACAAACCCTTCTTTGCTTGCCTTTAGCTTTACATCTAAACACAACCAAATGTGATTTACATATTTGGGTGAGACTTAGCTGGCAATTAAAGCCAATTGAGGCGTCATACCCAGACTATTTAGGGCATTTACAAGCCACGAAGCATACACCATCCAATTAGACATACACCATCTTATTAGACATACCATCCAATTAGACATACAAAACCATTCTGGCATTTATAAGCCGAATAAGAATATACAATTTGAATCGGGCAGGACAATGTATTTGAAATTGTATAAATCATGATAGACTTCATTGCTTCGGTCCACTTTACCCACCCTCTAAGATAGACACTTTTTGCATCGGCCCACATTACCCTCAAAGATAGACCCCATTTCATCGGTCCACTTGAACCTGGAAGATAGACCCCATTCATTGGTTCACATTACTCTCCCCACTCCATGAAGCATGTCACTGATGATAGTCTATGTCCACAAATGTTTGCCATACTCTACCTTATCAATCATGCTAAATCCTAGTAGTTTCAATGTGACGTTTGCATCCTATGATAATAACCTCAATGAATTTGAATGTTTCTTACTGTAGTTATTAACATTGCATTTCTTGAATATTGTTGAAATGATTACATGTTGTTGATCAATTAGCAAGTATCTGTGCTCTGATTTTAGTCACTGGTGTTGTTGATAACGTCATGATGTCCACTACTCAAGTCATATTTTTAACCCATAGTAACCCAACTCATAAATTGAACAGAGCTTCTCAAATTTCTTTCGATGTGCTCAACTGGTAAAAGCTAAAAGTTTTAAGAGTTGGATTTATTTCTCACTTTTTTGTTAGGGAGAATGGATGGGTGTGGTAAGGTAGAAAACTTCATTTAACTTGTTAAAAGGGTATGCATGGTTGGGGTACTTCCGTTTCCAGTTTGAGAGGCTCTGTATTAGTTTGCTCAAATAATATCCTGAAAAGGTGTTACAAAAATATTGTATAAAATTATTTCTTTATGGAAAAATGAAAGAATATTCATAATAAAGTCATAATAAATGGTTTGTAGTAGGCCTACATTTGATCTCAGTAGGCCTACATTTGATCTCAGTAGGCCTACATTTGATCTCAGTAGGCCTACATTTGATCTCAGTAGGCCTACATTTGATCTCAGTAGGCCTACATTTGATCTCAGTAGGCCTACATTTGATCTCAGTAGGCCTACATTTTGATCTCAGTAGGCCTACATTTGATCTCAGTAGGCCTACATTTGATCTCAGTAGGCCTACATTTGATCTCAGTAGGCCTACATTTGATCTCAGTAGGCCTACATTTGATCTCAGTAGGCCTACATTGATCTCAGTAGGCCTACATTTGATCTCAGTAGGCCTACATTTGATCTCAGTAGGCCTACATTTGATCTCAGTAGGCCTACATTTGATCTCAGTAGGCCTACATTTGATCTCAGTAGGCCTACATTTGATCTCAGTAGACCTACATTTGATCTCAGTAGGCCTACATTTGATCTCCAGAAAATGTGAATTGATATTAGGGAATATTTTCCCTGGCAATGGATTTTTCTTTGAGCAATTTCATGAGCTTGATTTCTCCTTTGTTTGTGTGTTGATGATTTCATTTGATTTGATTTCATTTTCGTGACGTGGTCAGGTGAACAATGGAAGCCATATTTTATTTTTCGTTTCATTTTTGTGCATCTTCCCCCTAGCATGCAAAGGTTTTGAGGAAGGTTTTCTCAACTTGACCGCCCTGCACCTCTTTGAGGACTGTACTAGCATTGACGGTAGCTTGCGTATCTTGAAGTCCTCGTTTGAACGGTGAGAGTCAGCACAATCAATTAATCACAGTTCAGAAGGAGCACATAAAACGGACCCCTCAATAAACTGGGTCACTCATTGAAAAACAAAAAAAACAGTTTCAAATATATATAAATTTTTTTTTTTTTCCAAATTCAGTTCAAAATTATCGCAAATTATTTTTCAAATAAAACTTTTTGGTTCAGAACCATAACATAAATTTCTTCAGACCGCTAGTACTTTGGTTCAGGACCAAAACATAAATTTGTTCAGACCGCTTGTTTATGCACAGCAGATTTAAATAATGCTATTGATCTGGAACCATCACAATTATTTGTACACAAAAATTCCATTTTAAATATTTTGGTTTTCAATTTGGAAGTAGACTAGATAATTATAACACAGTTTGATGAGTTTGGTAGTACCATTATAACACATCTAGGAAGTAGATTAGATAATTATAACACAGTTTGATGAGTTTGGTAGTACCATTATAACACATCTAGGAAGTAGATTAGATAATTATAACACAGTTTGATGAGTTTGGTAGTACCATTATAACACATCTAGGAAGTAGATTAGATCTTTATAACACAGGAAGTAGTTAGCTAACTATAACCTAATATTAAACGAGTAAGAAAGATCGTACTATATAACACTTATCAAGTGGTGATGGTTTTACCTATGAGGCTGCAGTTTTTACAAATTTTTTTTTATTGGAGCAGGGGCCATAACTTATGTAGGCTACACTGATTAGAGTTATTTACAAATAGTTGAATTTTTTAAAGTAAATACAAATTGAATAAATGCGAAACATCATGACCTTAAAACTTGTTACCGATACTACAGGTCATATAAGAACAAATGCCATCTTTTATATTAAGTGTTGAAATCCAGCCAGGTGTTGCAGGCCCAAGTCTTCAACTTTTTATCCCTGGTGCAGAGGTCCTCAAATTGCAGACTTCAAAATCATTTATAACTTAAATGATTTTTTGTTTCAAGTTTCTGTTCATTTTATCATAGGCAAATACAGGCAGCTTACATATCTACCAATGTAAGGCAGCCTCTCAATGTAAGGCATACTACCACTGTAAGGCAGCCAGCCAATGTAAGGCAGCCAGCCAATGTAAGGCAGATTACCACTGTAAGGCAGCCAGCCAATGTAAGGCAGATTACCACTGTAAGGCAGCCAGCCAATGTAAGGCAGCCTACTGGTGTAAGGCAGTCTACCAGTGTAAGACAGCTTGCCAGTGTAAGACAGCCTACCAGTGTAAGACAGCCTACCATTTTAAGACAAAATACCAGTGTAAGGCAGTCTACCAGTGTAAGACAGTCTACCAATGTAAGACAGTCTATCAATGTAAGACAGTCAACAATGTAAGACGGTCTACCAATGTTTCTGTTTCTCTGTACTTTTTGGAGCCCACTAACTAAATAATGGATGTGTATCAAAGGCTGTGGCATTAATGAGTAAATAATTGATTTGTATCAAAGGCTGTGGCATTAATGAGTAAATAATTGATTTGTATCAAAGGCTGTGGCATTAATGAGTAAATAATTGATTTGTTTCAAAGGCTGTAGCATTAATGAGAAAATAATTGATTTGTATCAAAGGCTGTAGCATTAGTGAGTAAATAATGGATTTGTATCAAAGGCTGTAGCATTAATGAGTAAATAATTGATTGGTATCAAAGGCTGTAGCATTAATGAGTAAATAACTGATTTGTATCAAAGGCTGTGGCATTAGTGAGTAAATAATTGATTTGTATCAAAGGCTGTAGCATTAATGAGTAAATAATTGATTTGTATCAAAGGCTGTGGCATTAATGAGTAAATAATTGATTTGTTTCAAAGGCTGTAGCATTAATGAGTAAATAATTGATTTGTATCAAAGGCTGTAGCATTAATGAGTAAATAATTGATTTGTATCAAAGGCTGTGGCATTAATGAGTAAATAATTGATTTGTTTCAAAGGTTGTAGCATTAATGAGTAAATAATTGATTTGTATCAAAGGCTGTAGCATTAATGAGTAAATAACTGATTTGTATCAAAGGCTGTAGTATTAATGAGTAAATAACTGATTTGTATCAAAGGTTGTGGCATTAATGAGTAAATAATTGATTTGTTTCAAAGGCTGTAGCATTAATGAGTAAATAATTGATTTGTATCAAAGGTTGTAGCATTAATGAGTAAATAATTGATTTGTATCAAAGGCTGTGGCATTAATGAGTAAATAATTGATTTGTATCAAATGCTGTAGCATTAGTGAGTAAATAATTGATTTGTATCAAATGCTGTAGCATTAGTGAGTAAATAAATGATTTGTATCAAATGCTGTAGCATTAATGAGTAAATAATTGATTTGTATCAAAGGCTGTAGCATTAGTGAGTAAATAATTGATTTGTATCAAAGGCTATGGCATTAATGAGTAAATCATTGATTTGTATCAAAGGCTGTAGCATTAGTGAGTAAATAATTGATTTGTATCAAATGCTGTTGCATTAATGAGTAAATAATTGATTTGTATCAAAGGCTGTAGCATTAGTGAGTAAATAATTGATTTGTATCAAATGCTGTAGCATTAGTGAGTAAATAAATGATTTGTATCAAATGCTGTAGCATTAGTGAGTAAATAAATGATTTGTATCAAATGCTGTAGCATTAGTGAGTAAATAATTGATTTGTATCAAAGGCTATGGCATTAATGAGTAAATCATTGATTTGTATCAAAGGCTGTAGCATTAGTGAGTAAATAATTGATTTGTATCAAATGCTGTTGCATTAATGAGTAAATAATTGATTTGTATTAAAGGCTGTAGCATTAGTGAGTAAATAATTGATTTGTATCAAAGGCTGTAGCATTAATGAGTAAATAATTGATTTGTATCAAAGGCTGTAGCATTAGTGAGTAAATAATTGATTTGTATCAAAGGCTGTAGCATTAGTGAGTAAATAATTGATTTGTATCAAAGGCTGTAGCATTAATGAGTAAATAATTGATTGGTATCAAAGGCTGTAGCATTTTGTTTGTAAAATTTTCGCAGCGTTCAAAGAAATTTATTTGTAAATTGAAATATTTTTTGTCTTAAATTCAGTTACAGTTTTATAGCTGCTGTTGTTTTTATGTGTCTTCTGCTGTTGTCTTTTTAAACTATTTTGTATGCTGGCATGCACCTCTGTGTAGTTGAGTACTCTTGTAAATCATGGTAGTAGATTCGTCCTAACAATTAACACACAATTCAATTTAGTCTACTAACAGTAAAACTTGCTTTTATTTCAATCTATGATGTGATTGTGGCAATAAAAATGTAATATAAGAAATGTTCAACTTCAGCCATAAAATCCTCGTACTTGACAATGTGAAAGGAACTTAGTTGTTTTGGTGGTCTTTTTATAAATAATAATAAAACCTGGTCTTTTTATACTGATGTCAGTTTGACACCAAGATCTAAGAGACATTTACATTTATAAAAAAACATGTGTCATTGATTGGCAGATATTTAAACGGATAATTAATGATTAAATATATAAAGCCTAAAAGAATTTTTAATGAATAATTCAGGGGCCTTTTGAAATAATAAAAAATTGAACTTAATTGTTTAAATTAATGTGGATCATCTCTTTACTGAGACCATTGTAACAAATACAAGGCCAACTTATTCAATTTCATTTTCTCATAATTAGGTGTATATTTAAATGCTCTCTAACTAAATAGATTTTTTTGAATGTTAAAAAAAACAACACTGTCTAGGCCTATCTTTGATCAAAAAAAATTTTTTTTTTTAAATATCGGCTTCAACCATTAGCTACTTTAGTTTTGTATTAATCTTCATGTACTCACTATGTTATAAGAATTTTCTGGTGTAGACAAAATACAACCCAAAAAAGTTACATTGAAAATATTCTATTAAAGGTAATATTTTATACCTCCATATTTACCTCCACAAATTATCAAAAGTTGTTGAATTTGTTAAAAAACAAAACAACGTTCCTAAAGCTCTTTTTAAATTATTGTTTTACTTTAAAAAATTAAGTTAACAAAATCAGTAAAATTGATCTGATATTAAAAAAATCTGCCTTTATATTACCGGTATATATAAACAAAAATGAAAATGACCCAAATTAATTTTCAAAATAAAGTTAAGACATCAGTTGGCTTATTTATCCACTTACCACCTGGCATATATTACCTCATCATTTTTTTTTAAATAATAAGCAGCCATCAAATTGAATGTTAGAATTAAAAGTAGCAAGTCACTTAAAATTAAATATTTCTATTTCATGCATTTTGTATAACTATGAAATGGACTCTGATTAAGAAGAACTGTTTTGTCCAACAGTGATCTTCATTTTAAAATTGAAGGCATCCATCCACACAATTTGTCCGTACTTCAGCATGTGAAGGAGATAACTGGCTATCTACTTATCCAGGCCTCTCATCCAGAGTTCACAGACCTTGGTTTCCTTTCAAGCCTTGAGACTATTCATGGTCGGAATGTTCAGTAAGTTGCACTGGGGGCGAAAAAAACAACTGTTAAGTTATACATTATTTATGTATTATTTGCATAGAGAATTTTTTATTTTTTTTTTATGATGCGGTTCAAATTGTAGTATAGAGCACTACTGTGACTCTCTGTATCGGGATGGGGTGGGCCGGCGTGGGATAGTTGAAAGACAAATGGGCTACATATACACACAATTTTTTTGTATCTACTTTTTGGATTATAAACTCATTAATGTGTGTGGCTAAGTCATTTGTGCTTGACTTAATTTTTTAATGACATTCAAGCTCTAGTCACATGTTTAAAGTCATCACCAGTTGACTGTGACAACCTCTTGTCAAACAGCTGATCACTAGTCAAAATTATCCTGACATTTGTAATCTTCTGTGATATCTTGACTTTGAGCTAAATACTCTACGGCATGTAGTTCTTGTGTTGGGTGACGTGGTGCTATTGTTCACTATAAATAATACAATCAGTGTGTTCAAAAAACATATTTACAAGTTTTCAGGTGTTCATGAACTACTCAAATTTAAGACAATCGTTATTTTTTTAAACACACACACACACGTATGCACCCCACACACACCATGATTTAAAAATATACCTGTTTATCTCTTGATCTCAGTGGTAGCATGAGTGCCTCCCTGGACATCATGAGCACACCACTCAAGTCTCTAGACCTCAAGTCATTGAAATACATCAGAAATGGCAACGTGAACCTGTTAAATAACAAAGAATTGTGCTTCGCTCACTCGGTCAACTGGAGCAAGCTGTTCATGCATGAGAACCAGAGGGCCAATCTCAAGTTCAATAGAAATCCTCAAGATTGTCGTACGTACTGACTTTGAGCTAGATACTATAAGGCATACTTTTTGTTGTTTTTGAGGCATGGTCTTTCATCAGTTAAAAAATCTAATTGATCACTAAGAGACTATAGAGACTAGACAGAGAGATAGAGAAATGGAAAGAAAGGAAGATACAATTGTCACTAAGGGAGTTGGTATATGATTTCTGAATTTTATGCTTGAGAAATACTTAAGGTGTCTTGTGTTCAAATTGTTATAGTTTTAAAATTTTGTCTTCGTTAGAATACATATTTATCTATGATTTATCTAAAGTAATAATGAAAAATGTAAATTTAAAAAAAATCCATTTATTTGTATCAATAAAAGAATCTTATCTTATCAATAATTTTTGCTCAGCTCTTCTCAGTTAATTCAATAGCTCTATTTGTTTAAGAAGAATTCCCAGTATATTAATTTCTCCATTGACTCGTATAGGAGTTGTACAGGACCAATCTGTAACATAACAGTCCGGTCATGGGACAGTGACCTCATATCATCTGAATTTGATGTCCAGTCTTCTGTTTAAAAAAAATGTTTTTGATGCTACATATCATGAAAGGACTGTTGCATTTCAAATTTGTTCTGTTTAAGTACAAGAGATTGAATGTTACATTTGACTTTGCTTGTTTCAGAACGAGAGAATGAAACATGTGACCCACAATGCCATGCTCAGTCTGGCTGTTGGGGAAAAGGTCCTACCAAATGCATCGCCTGTGCGGCGTACTTTTATGAGGAAGAATCTTTGTGTCTCGCCAAATGTTCGGACAAGCTGGGGCTCTACCACAAGAGCAACTTCAAGTGTGAGAAGTGCCACGAACAGTGTGATGGATCATGCAAGGGGCCTGTGAGTAACTCGCGCACTGATCCCATGACTTACCATGAGCATGATTAAATATAATGAAATAATTTACTTATGGTTCCTTTATACACCGTTATTTACAGTCCTGTTTAAACTGTTTCAATTTATTTTCATTCCCCCCCCCCCCCAACTATCACCACTATCACCACCATCAACCACCACTATCACCACCACCGCTTTCATCACTTTCGCCACCACCACTATAATCATCACCACTATCACCACCACTATCACCACCACCACTATCATCATCATCACCACCACTATCACCACCACCACTATCATCACTACCATCATCACTATCACCACCACTATCACCACCACCACTATCATCACTACCACCACCGCTATCACCACCACTATCACCACCATCACCACTATCACCACCACCACCACTATCACCACCACTATCACCACCACTATCACCACCACTATCACCACCACTATCACCACCACCACTATCACCACCACCAATATCACCACTATCACCACCACCATTATCACCACCATCACCACCATCACCACCACTAAACCATCATCACTATCACCACCACCATCACCACCACCACTATCATCACTACCACCACCGCTATCACCACCACTATCACCACCACCACCACCATCACCACCACCACCACTATCACCACCACTATCACCACCACTATCACCACCACTATCACCACCACTATCACCACCACCAATATCACCACCACCAATATCACCACTATCACCACCACCAATATCACCGCTATCACCACCATCACCACCACTAAATCCTGATTGTCAAGATTTGTCAAACTTTTCCCAAAGCCCACCTTCACCCTCTAATTGTTGATGTAATTTATGAATGCTACCTAAACTTTGCATGGATGTATTTATGTATGAAGAGTAACCTAAGATAGAACACACTAGCCTTAACTTAAGTATTATGAATTTTCCCATTTTATTGAGATAAAACATACAAATTAGATGAAACATACATAATAGATCAAACATACATAATACATCAAACATATGTGAAAGATCAAACATACATAATAGATCAAACAGGGAACAATGCAGTACAAAAATAGTTGGTGCCAAGAACCTTGTACGTTACACAAAAATACATTCAAAATGTTATTGAATTATTTTTTTTTCACGTTTGTTATAAACATTTCAGAGCAACTCTGAATGTGACAAATGTAAATATGTGTCATTGAAAAATAAAAACGGCTATGTGACGTGTGAAGCACAGTGTCCAGAGTCATTGTATCCTGACGAAGATAAAGTGTGCCAACCTTGTCATCCATTCTGTCACAGGGGGTAAGGAAATACAAACATTAAAAGACCTTTTTTTAATCATAGGAAATTCTACCAAAATGAAAACTCAAATCAGCTGGTGCGCACATTAAGTGGGAAACGGAAGAAATTTATTTTGTAAAGTTTAGGTGTTGGTATCAGGTTGACCTCACTGGGTGTTGGTGTCAGGATGACCTCACTGGGTGTTGGTGTCAGGATCACCTCACTGGGTGTTGGTATCAGGATGACCTCACTGGGTGTTGGTGTCAGGATCACCTCACTGAGTGTTGGTATCAGGATGACCTCACTGGATGTTGGTGTCAGGACTACCTCACTGGGTGTGTGTATCTGAACTATGTCACAAAACATGTAACAGTTACATGTGTTGATTGCCTACTCAAGTTTTTCCCTAGTTCTGGTATAAACTGCTACGTTAAAAACAAAATGTTATTGATGCCAACCCATTTATAAAGTTGAGGTTAAATTTGTATGTCCAGCTCTCTCTTTAGCAACACATTGTACAATTAAACAATGCTCAGAAGAAAGTTTACATGTACCTGAAGGAAATGTTGTAACAATTAAAAAAAATTAATAGCAGAATTGTGTTGGAATTAATCAGTGCGTGATATCAATTCTGTTAGTTCATTGAAATGGAGAACATCTTGAAAGGGGGGGGGGGGGGCTTTTTGGGGGGGGGGGGGGGGGGGGGGCATTTTGGATAGTTCTGCTGATTTGTCATATATGTATGGCAGTGTATGCCTTCATAGTGTTCATTTGACCTGGTCTTGTATCCACAGATGCACCGGCCCTAATGAAACGGTGGGTCCAGGTGGATGCAACGCCTGTGAGCTGGGGATACGAAAATCTGACATATCCATCATCAGATGTCTGGCCCCCACTCCGAAAAAATCAGTCGAGTGTGACACGGGTTTTTTTCACATCCGGGTTACCACTAACTCAATATCATTTCCAGTGAGCTCCTCATTTTTTATCAAGCATCTAATGTTACTGTGTTGTATTAGCCTGAGTTGGCTTTAGGGCTAAGTAAATCAAGAGTCATATCAAAAAAATTCAGGCTATCACTTTTCTTTCAAGTTTGCTTAATTTTTTTTCAACACTTATTTTGAAGGTTTTTGTAATGACTACCGTGTTAACAAATACTTATTCTATTCACAAAGGTTTGTGAGAACTGCGATGAGCTCTGCATCACTTGTACCGCCGCCTCAACTCATAACTGCGAAAAGTGCCGCTACTTCAGGCATGACAGGCATTGTGTAAAAGAATGTCCCAGTTTCTATTTTGCCAACAATGTGACCAATGATTGTGAAATGTGCCACACCGAGTGCCGGGGTGGGTGCAGTGGCCCAACCACGGCCGACTGTAAAGCCTGCTCCAATTTTAAAATTTATTTTGATGCTGAGCAGAAATTGGTAAGTGTCGATTCTTAAATTTTGTTAGGTGTGCTTAAATTAATTTTTTTATTAAAATGTGTCCTTAAAGTTCACAATTGCGAACGCAAAGGGAAAAAATGTAGGTCAGGCTAATGGCCGTAACACCTTCCCTCTTATAAAAAGAATTTTAAAAGATAATATTTTGTTGACAGAAAATTTGCCAAGAAAGTCCTTCAAAATTAAGCATATCTTTTTGCCAGTGCTTGTGAAAATACTATCCGTGCTTAAATGGTGTTATAATTTGACCTGAGGTCATCTCATGGACCAACCATTTCTCAAACTTATTTCCAGTTCAACTGCACATCTAAATGCCCCACAACTCTGCCGTATAACGTCAAAGATCATGAGTCGGATGAAAACAGAGTTGTCTGTGCAGACGGGACACACCCCGATATCATGAGAATACTGGACAAAAGTGCAGAGTGAGTTTGTGCATTAAATTCTAGGTCAGGAATTTATTATATTAAAACCGATGAAGGGACTTAGCTAAATCATCAAGATAAAACTTCAAGAATACAGTGACGTCTAGTGACAGTAACAGTGACGTCTAGTGACAGTAACAGTGATGTCTAGTGACAGTAACAGTGATGTCTAGTGAATGTAACAATGATGTCTAGTGACTCTGTACGACTCAGTTATTCAAAAATAATATTTGGCCAGACTGCAAACCAATGTTGATTGTTTTTTGGGTTCAGTTCCAATGACCGCCTTACTTCTTATCCTCAGGGAGGAAAAAAAGAAAGTTATCATCTTTGGTGTCACAATCCCGGCAGCTGTTATCCTGCTGCTCATCATCATATTTGTGAGTTACTTCTGCTACAAGCGAGCCAGGAACAACATGAAGGCCGCCGAGTACACTGCCAAAATTACCGGAGTTGAAGAGATTGAGGTAACATTTGACACCTTAGATTTTTTTTTGTCCTGTTTGAACTTAAGCATTTTTGTTTCCACAGAGTGAAGTTTCACAAAGAGAAATCTTTATTTGCTGTCATTGCGAAGTCTGAAATAATTTTTGAAGTATTTATGAGCTGCTATTCCCAAGACTAAGAGAATACTTCAAAGATTAGAGTAATTTTTATGAAATTTTTTATGTATTATTATTTCAAAGACCAGGGTAATTTTTTATGCAATGTTTATGTAATACTGCCTCAAAGACTGGAGTAATTTATGAAATCTTTATGTAATAATACTTCAAAGACTGCAGTAATTTATGAAATCTTTATGTAATAATACTTCAAAGACTGCAGTAATTTATGAAATGTTTATGTAATAACACTTCAAAGACTGCATTAATTTATGAAATATTGTTTTGCAGCCACTTACACCTACCAATGCCAAACCTGACTTGTCACAAATGAGAATTATTAATGAGGAAGAGTTGAGGAAGGGTGCTATCATTGGCTCAGGAGCGTTTGGTACAGTATATAAGGTGTGCTATTTGAAATTGTGCTCAATGTTGGCAGCTTGGAAAGTCTTGGAACTTATGAATGAGAGGAGATTAAAAAATTGTTACAAATAACTTTTTGTGTTCATATTTAAAACCTTTTCTCCATATTTCAGGGCAACCACACTTAGGCATCATATTTAAAACATTTTTTGATCTATATTTCAGGGCATCTGGATCCCACACGGTGAAAATGTGAAGATCCCTGTAGCCATTAAAATCCTCCAAGAAGGCACTTCTCCGGGTCAGTCCACTGAGCTGCTGGAGGAGGCCAGGGTTATGTGCAGTGTGGAACACATCTGCTGTGTGAGGATCTTAGCTGTTTGCCTCAAGTACCAGATGATGCTGGTCACCCAACTCATGCCCCACGGCAACCTGCTCAACTACGTCAGGGACAACGCTCAGCACATTGGGTCCAAGGCTCTGCTGAACTGGTGCACTCAGATTGCAAGGGTTAGTTTGTTTGCTTGTTGTGCTTCTGCACTGCTGTTACTGTCAATTCTGTAACATTTATAGAGGTTATTTATTGATTGGAAACAAACCAGGAGTTAACTTACGGTTGCTTTCTTTGATAAGTACACCATCATTATATAAATTGTTTTCTTGTCACGATATATTCCCGCAAATTAAATTCTGGGCTTTTCGTATGTTGTGTGTCTAAACCTTCATTCCATTCTCACTGGTTTCTGTCCACAGGGGATGGCATACCTTGAAGACCGGGGAATCGTGCACAGAGATCTGGCCGCTCGTAACGTCCTAGTACAAACACCTAACCAAGTTAAGATCACAGACTTTGGGTTGGCCAAGTTGCTGGACTCTGACGCTGATGTCTACCAATCTTCTGGTGGCTTGGTGAGTGTCAAGGCATTAAAGGGGACACAATCTATCGGCATCCTTCCGTCTCGTGAGACGATGGTGCATCACCGTTTGGTTGGGTTGCATTTTCTCGAGTGGCTGTGCAGTCCTATCCTTGAGTGACAGTCTTTACCACAGTTTTTACACACGAGTTCCGTGCTTCTAAATGTTTTGGCCTTTCTCCTAGCTCTTCTGTCTGCAGCCTCTTCCATTCTTCGCTCCTCGGCTACCATGACGCCCTCTTTGACAACTGTGCGCCAGAAAGGGGACACAATAGGCAGGACAATTGGGGACTTGGGAATCACTTGGGTTTATGCTGGCAACAGTTTTGTATAGTTATTGAACTTGGTGACTACAGCACACACAAAATTATATACCTTTTATTGTTCTAAGAAAGAATTGCTGAATATAGCAGTACCTAGTAGAGAGACAATATTTAATGAGGGACATTCTTATGGTCTGTCATAAATATAAACCATTGTAATAAAATAACATGACCGTTTTACCAAAAATATACATCTTAACCCTTTACTGAATTCTGTTTAAAAACTCAATTTGTATAACAAAATTATTTAACTATTTTTATGGGGTTTTTTTGTTATGTGGAAACTCTTATAAAAGTTTGGGCAGTTATCATTGTACTTGATCAATTTTATTTAATCTCTTTTTCATAAATCTTATTTTAAAGCCTAGCCTATTTTTTTGAAAAATATTTATGATGTATAACAGTGTAGTGGTTGTAATATTGTATAGTGCTAGTTAACGTAAATGGGTAAATGTATAACAGTGTGGTGGTTGTAATAATGTATAGTGCTAGTTAACGTAAATGGATAAAGCTACACAAAGAGAATCATCTGTTGGAAGATTATTTCTTCTAAATAACTGCAGTATTTATTTCTTAGATGCCTATCAAATGGCTGGCCTTGGAGTGCATCAACCACAGAATCTTCACCCACAAGAGTGATGTCTGGAGCTTTGGTAAGACTTTCAACGGAATTGATTTTTTTTTTTTAAAGTGTGCTTTTTGCCTTAAATGTATACACTATTTATGAATACTATTGAAGAAAATAAGACTTGACCATACATTCATAAGTACCTTAAACTTTTCTATACACTGGGCTTCAGCTTTCTACACTGGGCTTATACTTGTTATACACTGATGTTTAAACTTGTTATACACTGGGATTAAACTTTTTATACACTGGGGTTAAGAAAAATATATTTTTATCGCCTGGCCAGATTTTATGGGTTTCTTTAAAAAATGTATTTGTCTTTTATTCGCAGGCATTACTTTATGGGAGCTGTTTACACTTGGCAAGAAGCCCTATGAAAATGTAAGGACCAAAGATGTACCAATGCTGTTAGAGAAGGGGGAGCGCCTCCAACAACCATCCATGTGCACTATTGATGTGTACATGATCATGGTCAAATGTAAGTACACTTTTAAGTGAACACCACTTGGAAGTGGAAAGATATTGACCCCAACTCTCATTTGAGCAGCTGAATAAGTATCTGTACTAGTTTTGCTGTGGGGGTGTATATTTTTCAACATATTTTATACAAATACCATGAAATTTAAAGCATTTTCACACAGAATTGCTACATCACACATAATAATTTTCACAGGAAGTAGATGAGTTATCTTTACTCATTCTTCAGTATACTTAAAAAGCTTAGGACCCCTTGAAGAAAATATTTTAAATGGGTCGATCAAGTTTTAAAAGCTTTGCTAGCCCTGAGTTTAAATGCTAACAGTAATTTATGAATCTGATTTATTTTCCACTCTTTTCTGACCAGGTTGGATGCTAGAAGCTGAATCTAGGCCATCTTTTCGAGAGCTGGTTGATGAGTTTGCCAAAATGTCACGTGACCCTGGGCGCTATTTAGTGATAGAGGTAATTATTGATAGCAAATGGTTTGACATTACCAAAAAGAAGCAAAAAACACATAATTTTTATTTTAAAAGATTTCATTCACTTTAATTTAAATAAATTCAGTTACAGATTTTATTTCAATGCATTTCTGCTTGAATTCATTTATTATTATGTCACAGGAACAGGCCAAGAACTGTTACATACTTTTAATTTAATTATTTTAAATTTTTGTTCACCTAACACAAAATTTGGCTTTGTAAATTTGCTTTTTTTTATGTCATAGTTTCCTGTAAGAATTCTTTATTATTATTTGTTTTTGTGCACTATGATATTTTCATGTTGTTTATTCTTTTATTTTTTACCTGTTAGTAGTAGTTGTTTTTTTTGTTTTGTTTTGTTTAGGTTTTTTTGTGTTTTTTAGTAGTTGTTTTTTTTTTTTCTTTTGTTTTTTGCCAATTGAAGAAACGGAATTATTTTAAAAAACTGTTTTCATTGTTCACCATATTTTCTTTTATTTTCAAGTAAGGCCTAACATTATCATTATTATTTGTTGTTGGTTTTAACAAACTTTTTTCCACAAGTTGTGTATGTTCAACACTTTCAAAAGTTAAAATAAAAACATATTTTAAAACTTTTTCTTTTAACCGAAAAACAATGAGACTAATTGCAAATATATTTATTATATTAGAGCTCTTTCAGAAATGTTTTGCTTAAGAATTTATTTTTTTATTGATTAAATTGTTGTCATAGTTTTGAAATAGGAAGCTTCACTATGCAGAGGTTAAAAATAAGTTATGACATCATCAAATCAATATGGATGATTTATTTGGCTGAAAAGTTCAAGCCCTACAAAAGAATTTACCGCTCCACTTCAGGCAGATCAGCTTTGCAGGTTTCCAGAAACAGCATTTACAGGTTCAGAGCTAAATTTAACTCCAATTGTTGGTGTTGAAATACATCCTTGTCCATCCTCGGGCAGGTTCTCACCAACCTACTTAGGAGCAGTTGCCGCAGCAAATGATGGTGCCGTGGCCTTGGTACCTGAGGTGAAGGTTGCGACCTTTTTTTTTCCATTTACCTAGTTTTTCAGCTTTTTCTTGTATGTTCTTTTGTTCTTGTCAGAAATTTCTTTCAATGTTACAACCTTGAACTTATATTTATTTAAACAACCTCGGTTGACACCCCAGAAGAACATCTCTATGTGAGTGTGCCACTCTCTCTATATATATATCTATATAAATATATATGTGTATTTTTTGTAAATCAATGGGTTTTTTTTTAACTGGGATTAATGTAGAGTTCTTTTCAATTACACCACACATCAAATAAGTTCATTGAGCATTTAGTGCTGTATTTTGAATGTATTTTTTGTATTGAATATTCAGAATCAAAACCCATGATTTAGTCCATGCCGCAAAGTAGCATGGCAGCTATTCATTATATTACAAAATATATCAAAATTTTGTCATTTTAACAGTAGACAGGTTTTTAGCACTGTTTTGGAAAGCTAATTTTATAGACCATAGTATTTATCTTATCTAAAGTGTTGGGTTAGAATAAATAAATATCTGATCTTGTTCTCTGCTTCCAATTAACCTAATTTTATTTTTATTCCATCAGCTGTGCATGTGAGATTTGTTTTATTTTATAGATAAAATGTTCCCTGTTTGTAAGGCACCAAATAAAAAGAATAAAACATTAAATATTCTGCACTCTGACTTAAATGGATAATTCTGTTGACTGTCAGCATTCCCTCCCTTTCAATGATATCCAAATGGGTTTTCCCCCACTTTTATATAAGATTAAAAACTAAATATTTTAACCATTATTTTAATTCTGAACATGAAAGTTGTTATATGTAGACTTACTTCAGCAACATTTACCAAGATCCAATCTTTTTAACTTGCTCTTCAAATGAACATTTACGTTCAAAAATGAATATGAAATTCTCTATCTTGTAAAAATCAAGTTTGTTTGTCTAATTTGACTTTGTGGTTTATTTAAACTTAATGTTCGTCTTTATTTTCTTTTTAATATAGGAAATAACAAGGTAGTAATAAAGTTAGGCCTCAATTTAAAATCAAGCAACATCTTCTTTTTTATTTTTTTTTATTTTTTGCTAAGAAAGAATTTAAAAAAAGAAAGTCATATGTTTTAGTTGGGTGATATTTATATCTTATAGGCCTACATTGAATATTTTTTTGTATGGAAAAAAAGAATAAGCCCATTAAGTAATTCTAAAAAAAAACATGACGCCTCTAAAAGTTGCTATGTGAAGGAGATTGAATAGTAGCTTTCATAATTTCACAAGTTGTCACTGGGACCAGAAATTTTTATGGGATGTGATACATCCAAGACATTGTGGAGGTATCACATGAACGTAGATATAGATTGACCGTTTTTTGTTTATAAAGAATCAGTTTATGACTCCAATTGCTTTGATCAATTTAATGTTTTGTGTATTATTTTGTAAGGATTTCTTTTTCGTAATCTCTAATAACTGTTCGTCTTAAGAAAGACAATCTTAGCTCATAACTATAGTTATGTCATTCCTGTGTACATTTAAATTCCACTTGTCATTTTCATTTATGCTGCTTCATTTGCAACTAAACTGAAGTTTATTGAACTTGGGAGCCATTGTTGTATGCTTAGAGAGTTATTGAACCTGGGGGCCATTGTTGTATGCTTAGAGAGTTATTGAACCTGGAGGCCATTGTTGTATGCTTAGATAGTTTTTTTTTAAATGATTATTTATTTTTTTTACATTTCCACATTTGTAATGTGCTAAGCAAAGTCAGAAAAGAAGGCTTTACATTACTAAAGTGTACTTTTAAAGTCTGCTATCACTTTAAGTTTTGTCCATATGTTGAAAAAAATGTTTCAGTTCATCAGCCATTTATTCAATTAGTCTGCCATTTGCTTGTGTCAATTTTGTGTACATTTTGGATGAATAAATCATTTATATGGTAACTATTTGATATTTAGTGACCATTTAAAATGAGGGATAATTATGAGTTTTCTACCAACAAATTCCCAATAATCAGCCATAATCTTTATCTAATCTTCTAAAACAACAGGAACTTTTCTAGTTTTGTATTATTTTTTACTTAACTACAAAGGTTCTACAAATTATTTTGCAATTGCTTATCAACAAATGGCATTAGTTGCTCAAAGTGAGGAATGCACTACATCTTAAAATTCCTTTTTTTTAAATCAGTTTATCTGAAACTGAAAATTGAGGAAGATTTGTCAATATGAAATCTTTCTGGATTTAATTGTGAGATATTACCTGTATTCTCAGGGTGATTCTCTCATGCGGCTCCCGAGTGTTTCCTATGATAAGAATGAGCTTGTGCACGGCATCACAGACGGCCCCGAGAGTGTCATGGAGGCAGAGGAATACCTGATGCCAGTTGACAATCATAGGTTACACCGACCTGTGTCACTGGCACGACAGCAGAGCAACATGTCCACCGTGAGTTTGGTTTGGCTTTCAGTGCATTTTCAAGAAATCAACCGAGACAGGGTATTAATAAAAAAAACAGGAACACTAATTTAAAATATGAGGGCAATAATTTTGATTAGGGCAGTTATGTTTGTTATACTTTGCATTATATGTGCTAAGTTAGCACCTAAACTATACTACATACATTCTCTGTATTATATGTGCTAAGGTAGCACCCAAATGTGCAACATAGATATGGTATTTTGCATACACTGGGTTATATGCTAAGTTAGCACCTAAAATATACCACATAGATATTTTGCATTATATGTGCTTAGGTAGCACCTAAAATATATTACATAGTTACATGTATTATATGTGCTTAGGTGGCACCTTAAATATACTACATAGTTACTTTGTATACTATGTGCTTAGATAGCACCTAAACTATACTACATCGTTACTTTTAACATGGAAAGTTTGACTATTGCTTAAATGAAATAATAAACTGTATCTCTATTAATGAGATTTTTAAACTAGAGTTGCTTGTTTTGGCAAATGTTCCTATTTTAGTAGGTCAGAATTGTTTAGTGTTGTTGTTCTACACATAAAAGAATAGAAAGTATGTAATTGTGCTGCGGCATTTTTGTCATAAGATATGTCTTTAATATTTTACAATTTTTATTAACCAGTCTTCTCAGAGTCGCATAATGGTAGATCCCAGTAGCAGGCTTAGTGGTGCCAAAGCAATGAAGCCGGAAAGGGATGGCCAAAAAATAAGAGAGAAAAAATATGGCCATCTTAACGCAGCAGCCCGGGCCAAACAGGAGAGAGAGGAACAGCCTAATTTTAGGGGAGACAGCATCAACTCGAGGTACAGCTCAGATCCCATCAAATACAACAAAGACAGGGGTGAGTTAATTCTATATTGTTAGACAGAGGCGAGTCAATACTTTATTGTTAGACAGAATCAAGCCAATGCTTTGTTAAACCAAGTTAAACGCAAATGACAAAATATGATGCCATGTTTGTCAAAATGTATGCAGAGAATTTGGGGGGGGGGGGGGGGGTGTTTTTCAAGGAGGGAAATTTTTGGGAAAGGGGTGGGGAGGGCTTAGGCCCACTGCATATATTCCAGTATGTTTACAATTTTTAATTTACGGAAGTCCTCGATCTCTGATGTGTTAGCAAAAAATTTTAAGATCAGGGAGACAACTCCAAATATTTGGTAGCTATTTATCAACAAATGTAAACAATGCCAGTTCCGGCTTGAATTTCTTTATCTAATTCTAAGGTTGGTTTCAATCAAATGATTTCTATTTATTTATGATCAGACTTAATTAGAAGTTTAAATTTAATGAATTTGCTTTTTATAATCCTGGCTTTTCCCACTGTATCATCCTGGCTTTTCCCACTGTATAATCCTGGCTTTTCTCACTGCATAATTCTGTATGCAGACATCTGCGTCCAGGGGTTTGAGGTGTAGCCTCAAGGGGACAAGGATGGGTGTGTGTGGGGGGTTGGGGTGTCATTTGCTGATGATGTTCTTTATCTACGACCCCTTATTTCTTTTAGCTGAAACTGTTCATTTTTTAAAAAACAAATGATCTTCATTGTCTCAAGTTTAACTTTTGCCTAATTCCAATGCAGATGAAATTGATTGGGCCATTGAAGGACCGTTCCAAAGCTACGGAGAGTATCCAAATAGTCCCCAGTACGTCCGGGACCCTCGTATGTCCAAAATGTCCCCATCTGTGCTGCTGCCCGTTGACAAAGATGATTATTTACAACCCGGGGCCGCCGCCCAGTCTCTTGCTTATCTTGACCTCGACGGAAAGGGTGAGCTCATCTTTTCTGTTTTCATTAGTCTATTACCATACTAAATATCCAAATAAACAGATATACGGAAAATGTACAATTATTCTTACAGTACTTAGGTCAACAAATGAACTGCTAAATTTCTTTAAAATTTATGGTAGTATTAGTTTTATAGAACAATTTTCAATGAACTGAACATAGAAGCATAGAACATAAAACCAGAAAAAATGCCTTTTGCTAGTTTGTGAAATAAAAAACTTTGACTTGGAAGAATTTTATTTTTTTAGTATCTACAAAATTTATATTTTTAAGAATTAAACCCGCACAACTGTGCTGCTGAATTTAATTATTAAATATTTTAAGATTGGAATTGATTTTTTTTTTAATCAATATGTACATTTTGGTTGAAGCTGGAGACAAGGATAGATTTCTTAATTTATTTGTTTTTGTCTGTTTAAAAAATATAAAATACCTGATCCAAAAAAATAATAATATAAAATCGAAATTATTTACAATTTTTTAATAGAATGCAGGTATATAAAAATTCAATAACTATGGCCAATTTCTGTTATAAAAATAAATAATAGTAGGATGGTGTAATAAATAATAGTAGGATGTTATAATAAATAATAGGTGGTTGTTGTAAAAACCGTAAATCAAAGTTAAATCTACTTTTTCAGGATACTATCAAAATGAAAAGGATGCCCAGTCTGAAGATCCCTTTGATGAGACTGACCCAATGATGAATCATCCACCAACATCACCTTCTGTCCTTCTGCACAATGGCAGCAAACATGCCTACACCAACTACCAGCCTAGGTCACCACATGCTGTTGAAAACGCAGTGAACAATCCAGTCTATTTTGATGGCGGTAGAGATGTTTGGGAGTCCAAGTGGTCAATGCGCAATGGTTATCACGCCGTGCCTAATGTGTCAATGTCTCCAGTTCATAGCAACAAAGACAAATCCGAATCATACTATAAAAGTATGAACGGAAATTTTGAAGGGAGCCCAAACTCCTCACCTGTGGTCAACACAAAAGTGACAATGGCTGGAGTGAAATTAGATGATTCAGAATCGAAAGTTTAAAGACATTTCAAGGAAGGAATAACATAGCAGCTCATAGAATTCTCTATTTTAAGCTGCAACATATTAGGGCAATGCACTTTAACACTATAACTGACCTACATATGGCATGCGAACTGACCTATATGCGGCAGATGTGTTCTTCTTTATGTTTTCATGTGCTACGGTTTGAGCACCTCCAGATGTTTTGGGAGTGTTTTGTGATAAACACGCGACCTCTTGCAACATATGACCTGTCACAGGATATGACATGTCATGAAATTTTACACAAAGACAATATAATCCTTGCTGCCAAATTTAAATAAAGGACAGCCTAAGCTGCTTTTAAGGATTATTTGAGTAAATTGTAATCATTTTTGTTTGTTGCTTTAATCCTAATAACATTGTGTGCAGATTTGTAAATAGACCAGTTTGTCTCTCCTGAGATCAGCAACTGACATATTTGCAATGGATATGAATATTGTTTACTCAAATAATGTCATAGTGAATATAATATGAGATGTAATGTTAATACAAATGCATGCTTTAGATGAACTGAACTTTTCTCCATGCTACTTTATTTAGTACAACGAGATACTTTTTTAACAGACGTCAAATATTTCATGTACAATTTTTAATGGATTTTTCCACTTTAAAAAAAAAAGAATCTAAAAAATCAAGACTGTCACAGGTTCTAAGATTTGACGTGAAAAGTATATACCATTTGTTACAATTAAAACCTATTTTTAAAAGACCCTGATATTATGTATGTTAATAAAGTGCATGAAAATAAAAAGTTAAAAAAATGTGGACTATATCATGCTAGTTTATATTGTTAAAAAAAAAAAGTTTTGTTATATGACAAATAACTATTCACTAAGTAAACCATAGCTAGCACTGTATTATCTTAGCCTCGTAAACATAACTGGAACAAGCAACATATGTTTGTGCTCATATATTTAAATATACTCTTATGTCTTAAGTTCCTTTTTCAAATTTTAGAAAACATCCTGCCCTTATCCTATTTATTTTTTCAGATGTAAAATAATATCATGACTGTTTTTGACTATTCAAAAATATTTTATTTCACAATTTTAACTAGCACATAGTTTACTCATAGTTTAAATAACTTAAAGATTTTTCTTTTTGAGTATTTAATTTTGTTGAAATCTTCAATATAGAATAACTACACACAGTACATGAAGGAAACATGCAGATCCAAGCAATGTTCTCAAAACTAACTTAAACACACAAAAAATAACTTTGATGAATCCAGGAAGAAAAAAAATTGAGTAAGATTTTGTTTTTCTAAAATTACTGCAGTTGCTATGGAGACTTTTTAAAATATTAATTTTTAGAACCATCTCTAATTTATTTTTACGCAAGGTTAATAATACCTTTTTAAAATTAAAATTTCTGAATATTTTTTTAAAAGTAATAGTAAGGTCAATGAAATGTGTTGGTCAAGCACGTGTCATTGGACAAGGACTGAACCAATGAATATGAAACAATTGTGTCCATCCATTTTAATATTAAATTGCTCATTAACACAACTATTCCCACCAAGGTTTCACATAATGTATTTATTTCCTCCAGCAACATAACGGTGTCAAAAAATCTAGTTTTTGAAATGTGGACAAAAGTTGTTTTTGTTCACTACAGCTGATATGATGTTTTTTTTTAATCATCTGTTTTGAAAGCAACATTTCTTGTACATAATAGATTTTCTTGAACGCCTTTCTGTGCCAAGTAATGCTACAAAAATAGACGTTAAGCTATAGATTTCGGAGTTCAAAAAAATACATACACTATGATATTTATAGTTTTCTACTACTGACTTTTGTTTTTATTGCATGCGATTATTATGTGAAGATAAGAGAAAATATTTAGTTAATAACTTCTTAAAATGCCCTTTTTTTAAAGAAGGGAGACAAGAAAACAATTAATTTATTAATTACTTAATTTTTCTGCTTTAAAAAAGATGATCAGAGGTTGTATTCTTTTTGATTGTCATGTCCCTCATACCCTAAGAAAATAAAGAGCGTTTCCTTAAACAATAAAAAATTTGAATGGAGTTTTTACAAGAAGAAGAATATGATGACAGGTTAACCACTGGATGGATTATCTGATCACTTACACTTACATAGACTACTTAAAATACTATAGACTTTTTAGACTGATATAGACTAATACAACACTGCCGGCTATTATTCTTGTTAATATAAGTCAATGAATAAATCGATATGGAAGAAGTCAAACTAGTGTACTTAGTCTAGTAAAAAGGAATATTGTTTTGACTTTAATTTTATCTCTTTTTCCAAACCCATTTAGATTGGAACACGATATGATGAAATTTAAGTAAGCCTAAAGACTGAAAAACACATTTTTTCTGATTAAATACACTTCATATTAAGTGAATATTTTGTCCCGATTTTGAAAAACAATTTTGATTTCGTTTCATTGCTTACAAAAAAAATATTCGTTTTTAATGTTACTTATAAAATCTCCAAAAAAAAAACATTGATTCTTCATTTACTCTTCTTTATTTTTCAAAGATTTGAATGACAATTGTTATGTCCCATTCTGACATTTTAGTCTTGAAATAAAATCCATGAAATGAAGTTAAGTTAAACAAACAAAAAATTAATAAAATAATTGTGTTAGGATGTTTTTTGCAGACAGTAAAGAAAAAAAAACTATATTTGATAAAGAATATAATAGTTTCTTCATATATCATGATACAAAAGCTGATCAAAGATTTTTTCAGAGGCTGTTCATATTTGATGGGTTCTGAAAAGTTGAAAGAATGATATGAAAGTGAATAGCATCCTGTTAGCTGAAAATTTCATTCAAAGATATGTTTGATGCAGTTTGAATGAGAATGAACACAAGAAATCAACTGCATTTTTATTTTTGTAACTTTTTTCTACCTTCCCATGATCCTGAAAAAAATCCCTCTTTGAGTCTTTACCCTCTGTGCTCTACCTTTATCATATTGCAATAGAAACGTCATAATGTCTGTTGACATGTGTAGTGTGTATACCTTTTGTAGTCAAAGAAACAGCATAATGGCACACAGTGAACATCTAAGAGTAAGTGTGATTGTATACAATCGAATGATATCCCAAAATGAAATGTATTGCTAAAGATATTAAGATACAAACAAATTGTGTGGATGACTTGGTTTAGAAGCACTGGAGATCATGTTATGCTGGATTTAGGTCAAAAGGTAACAGTTTTACATTACACAAAGCCCCATCCACTCGCCCCCCAGTATAAAATGTCTACATTTTTATTTTTAAATTAATTTTTTTTATATTAAAATCCCCTATTCAGAGAAAACATTGTTCTTTTTATGTCAAAATATTTTTTTTTTTTAATTTATGAGTGCATTGAAAAGTGACAAATTGTAATTAAATTAGGGTGTATTTGCTGTGCAGGTAAAAGTTTAGTGAGCTCATGTGTCCCAGCCAAAGTCTCATTTAAAAAAGAATTTATGTTTGGGGTGTGCATACTGAGTGACCTGGCTCGGCTTTAAATACTTTTTTGATTCTTTGATCAAATCAAGTCTCCATAATAATACTATGGGTCTGTGAATCATTTTGTGATGTGTAAATGCAAACAAAGCTTTATTTTCACCTTGATCATTCAAAAGGTTAATTTTTCATACATTGCAAATAAATAGGTTAGAGACTGCACATATCAGTATTTTGTCTATAAACTTATAATGCATGCATGAAAGCCTGATGATGTCATATGACGCTAACGGAAACATATTTACATACATAATAATATATAAACCTGATGTTTTTGTGGATTTTTTTTTGTTTAAACTCTGCAAGATGGGAGATAAAGGCGGGATGCTCTCTATGAAATGTGAATATTTTGTAACTATGTATATAGTTTTTGCTATGTTTGCATGTGTATATTCAAAACAATAGGGATCACTCTGTATTTGATGACATGTAAGACGTTCCCTTCAATATAAGATTATATTATCACCACTTGGTAGCTGCTCTTTTTGTCCCTGGCTATTTATATCTGACATCCACTTCATGAAGGATACCTTGTGAATTTCTTTTTTTATTTTGTCCATAAACCTTAGCACATGAAGTGTCAACTGTTAAAAGTACTTAACCCCATTCAAATAAATATTTATTTCCAGGATATATATATGATCATAAAGTATTTATGCATGTTCTAATGTAAAAAAAATAACTGATAAATCACCTTTTTTTGTGTATCTGTTGCACCGACACCTGTTGCCCCTCTCAACTTTTGTAAAAATCCCAGATTTACAGATTTTAAGTTTAAGCAGAGCTCCGCAACCAGTGTGCAGTGGCACACGACGCAAGATTCTGCCTGGCATGCCGCAGCAATAAGGCTGAAAGAGGAGATAATCCGCAGGGTTTATCGTGAGCTCAGCAATTTATTCAAATCTAAATAATAAAAATGGTAATGGTATTAGCCAATTACCAAGCTGTTAAAATTTTGCAGTCAACTACCACAGAATATGTGCAAAAACATAAATTTAGCAAGTAAATTTCTCCCAAATAAACAGATTCACTATTTAAATTTTAGAAAAACAGCCAGCACAGGCTAACATAATTCTCAGCTATTTTTATTAAAAAATCTTAAGCATTTGAAAGAATGAGATGGCCCCATTTTTAGTAAAACGTGAGAACATTTCACAGGCATTGATTTTGTTATATTTTTTTAGTAAGGGAGGATTTCTTTAACACTTATTGTATTCAATGATGTTCTTGTGTCAGTGTTTGCTTGGATGGCAATAAAAGTTATTATAAAGGGGATTTTTTTTTCATATGACCATCTACTAATTCCCATTCATCGAGAATCATTGATGGTAAAAGAGGAATTCATATGAAGTATTCCAGATAACTCAGACGAACCAATGTGTCAGAATTATAACAAAAAATTTGTAATAATTAATTGGCACGAATTATTTATGTCTAGGTAGAAAATGTGGTGTCTGAAATAAATCATTATTATAATTATCCCACCCGAATATGTTTGTGTTCCCGCTGTTAAAGGGCCTGTGCACATGTAAGATAACACAAAAGTATTTTAAAAATACCTACCCCTTGTAACGTTATATAAAATTTCTGTTGACCACCCTCCTTAATATTATATAACATTTCTAGCGGCCACCCCTCCTCCCCCCCCCCATTTCCCAAGATCATAGTTACTACAAACATTTTGTTTTAACAAATTTTTACTTAGTCACAGTTACTGTAAACTGAATTCATATGTTTATTATACATACAGTAACAGTTATTGTAAACTGAATTCAGATTTTTATTCTGCATACAGTCCTGCAAGACTAGAATTAATAACGTACCATTAAAAGAAGACACAACAAGAAATTTTCAGGCAAGAAGTCAGAAACTATTTTTTTACAAAAATGTGCTCAATTATTATAAGAAAAAATACAGGCTAAGTTAGTAAATTTTAAAAGCAGAAATTTAAAAAGAAAAGAAAAATAATAACAGATATTGTGTATATATCGATATATAGATATATATAACATTGCTCCACCCCCCCCCCCCCCCCNNNCCCCCCCCCCCCCCCCCCAAATGAAACAAAATATGAGTAAACCAAGACTACCCCCACCCACTTCGTGTAATCTAATATGTGCACGGTCCCTAAGTTCTGCCAAGATTATAATTGTGAGTTTAAAAAATGAGCTCAAGAAATTTCTCATCAATCTTAACAAGACTGACCAACTCAGGTTCTTCTAAGATAATCCCTACGGCTGTCTAACTTGCCTAAATGGCTGACTTGATTGTACCATGTTGCAATATATTAAACTGGCTCAAACTCAAACAGAAATGTAAATTTTTGAGAAAAAATTCACCCCGGATTTCTTAAGAAATATACCAAAAAACAAACATGGGTACTATTACTAGTTTATATATAATTTTTTGGGACATAAGCTAGCATTGATGCAACTGAAATATACTGAAAGATACATAGAGCAATATAATGGTGTCTGTTACAATGCAGCATAGCAACTTTTCACTTCAATTTCAACAGTAATTTCTGAAGTTAGGAATGACTGAATGCTTCATTCAAAATTTTTAAATGATAAGCGGTCGCGCTTGGTAAAGTTTATTAAGTTATACTAGTTGCTTCATCAGATATTTAATTAAATGTTCAAAATTTATGCTCAGCAAAACTCAGGCGTTTTCAGTATCTTTGTATGTTCTTACACTCGGTGTGCCATGAAATTCTGGGGAGGGCTTAGGTTGTTGTCAGGGAAGAAAAAAAGGGTTGCGGAGCGCTGTGATTAAGGATCAACCAATATATAACAGTTGGGAGATAACTTTAAAGATGCCTTGGGGACAATGCACAAAAAGTAAAAATTGATTCATGACATGATGTCTGATGACTTTGTTGTCACAAACTTACAAATCATAAATACATGATGATTGAAATATCAAAAAGTAACTTTGATGCCAGCTAGTAGAAGAGTAGATGGTTACCGCTTTGTGAGACTGTTATAAAAAAAATGAGAGGGGCACCAGTTAGACAATGATCTATTGATTCTGTTTAACGCTATTATTACTACACATTCAGATGAATGAACAAAGTGTTTTTGTTATTTAATCTAAGCCATGAGAGCAAAGCTGCAGGATGCAAGTATTTAAAGCATGTTACAAAAAATATATCTCTAGTGATTTAGATTATTTTCTTAACAAAAAAATGATTAACTTTTTAATTTTTTTTTTTTAAATTATATACAAATTACTTTTTCACTGATTCTTGCAAAATAGAATTCAGTAATATTAGGCTGGACCACAATGGTTAATGAGCTATACTACGACTGTTTTCTTCATCTTTAAACCCAAGGAAAACATTGCAGCTGTATAAAGCCCATAAAGCTATTGTGGCCCCCAAAACTCTAAATCAGCAGTTGCTTTTTTTATATGCCAACCAATCAAATATTAGAGACAGTGTGAAACCTGGACAACATGTTATTTTATGACATTACATTATTCACTGTGGAACTGAAAATAAGTGGGTAGAGTCCAAGAATTTTTAGCAATGAAACACATTTATTCCATAATAAATTTATTTAAAAGCTCCCTTATGATGTTCGATATTTATTAAAATTAATTTTTATATCAATTTTTTATAACTTCAAATAAACTGTTTTCATTTTTACAACAATATATTACGAGGACTAATATGAGAGCATTCACATGTGAGGTGATACGTTGTTAAAGCTGATTATTAAATATTTTCAGATTATTAAGTATACATTCATTTCATGTTTATTTGCTCCCAATTTTTAATATGCCATAACATAGCACAAAGTCATCATTTCTGTTATATCACTTTTGTTCAATGAAAAAGATCACATCATGTAATAAAGTTTCATACAAGAACAACAATGCATTCTTTTCATTTGATACACTCTGGCCTTCTCTCTAGACCAGGGAAACATCCATTAACACACTTTTGAAACGACATCACACTGGGAACTTTTACCGATACACTTGGGGCACCGGAGGAACCTTATTGACACCCATGTAAATCGTAACCAACACATCGATTGAAAACCACTTATCTAGAACTAAAAAAAAAAAAAACTCTTTTAATTTGTAGGGAAAGTATGGAATTGAAGACCAAATAATTCACACCTATAAGTTTTTGGCTCAGAGAATAAGACAAAATTGGAGAATTATCAAGAGTTCCTGCTGTCTCTGACAACTCCCCGTGAGAGTCGGCTGCGAACGCTTTAAACACAGCATTTTCGGTCGACCGGACGGGGAAAGCCGCCATTAGCAAATCCGATCGAGCGGGTGAGGGCGGAACAGGTCCGGGGAAGTCCCTGGCGTGCCGCCGCACGGTCCGGGGTCATGGAAGCCCGGCGTCTGGTTTGTGTGGAGGTGCGTCAGGAGGGGACATTAAGCGTCAGGGGGGAGGGGGGACATGAAGCGTCAGGGGGTGACATTAAGCGTCAGGGGGGACATTAAGCGCTCACGCTCGACGGCCTGCCGACGCCATTTCCCAGTTTACATATTTAGTCTCTGACAACAGTTACTGTTTGAGCACAAGCTAAACCACGACTTTCCCCCCTTTCAAAATTTATGAGACTATAAAACCCCGCCCAACAATGGTGAAGGCAGTGCCTGAACTTCCCAACTACTAAAGTTACTTGACAAAACATGCATTCAAGTAATGCACTTTATAAGATTTCCAATTAGTGCTAAATTACGGGAATTTTATTTTGCGCGCCTTTTGTACAAAGTGTTACAGTACAGCCATCTGATATATACATACCGGCACCTAGACGATTATCATCCGTCATAACTTTAATAGTGTGACGCCAATCTCTTTTAAATTTTCTTATAAAGTGATTTTTTTGAAAAACTACACAGAGCTAAGCTGAAGGTGGACTTACAATTTAGCTGATTTGATTAATCTTCATCGGGTTCTAGATATTATCTACACAAAGACGTTAGGTTAATTTCTAAAAGGGTTTCTATGTAATCTTCTGCCTTAGGAAATACGAATGAAATGGGTGGCTTTTACTACCACAAGTTATTCTTTCGCCATCAATATTCGCCTCCGTGGACCATACATACTTTTCTAGCTGTTCACCAGGTGAACACTGAACGAGAAATACTCAGTTGCAAAATGTTACTTGTGTAGACAAAGAAACTACGCCCCACACACAAGATGGCGATCCGAGTAGAGAGGAAGTCTTTAATTTTAATATATATATATATATATTGGTATGGCATCTTTCCGTCTGCGGGAGACGATAGATTATCTTAATTGCTTGCAGCTCTTGGTGTGGCTGATGAGACCAATCCTCGAATGGCAGTCTCTGTTACATTTCCCACACACGAATGCGGTGGAGCAGTATTTACCGGCCTTCCTCCTCGCTCTTTTTGCAGCTGTTTCCGCCCTGTTTTGATCCTCGGCATGTAGTGATCCTGCCTTCACGATGCCCCGCCATGAGGATCGATCCTCTGCCAGCTCCTCCCAGTTTGAGATGTCGATGTTGGCCGACTTCATGTCTCTTTTGCATATGTCTAAGTATCTCAGACGAGGCCGTCCAACTGACCTTTTCCCTGTCACCAGCTCGCTGTATAGCACGTCCTTTGGTATGCGACCGGGTAGCATTCGCTTGACGTGTCCAAGCCAGCGGAGGCGTCTTTGGATTAACATGGCTGGGACGCTACACATGTTTGTTTGGGACAGGACATCCGTGTTGGGGACTTTGTCTTGCCATTTAATGTCAAGGATATTCGCTTGACGTGTCCAAGCCAGCGGAGGCGTCTTTGGATTAACATGGCTGGGACGCTACACATGTTTGTTTGGGACAGGACATCCGTGTTGGGGACTTTGTCTTGCCATTTAATGTCAAGGATGTGACGCAGGCGTCTGAGGTGGAAGCCCTTGAGCCTTCTTTCGTGTTTAGAGTATGTGGTCTATTAAAGACGAGTTTAAACACACTAAAAATTTCTTAAATTATGCATTACGCAAAGATTGCAGAAGTGTAGATTAAAAGCTTGAAAAATGTGCAGTCTTAAAGAGTTGAGTGCCGCTTTACAGCAGTGGTTCTCAAAGTGGACTGTATCGCCTCCCAACAGATGAAAATCACAGATAGGGTTAAGACCCCATTTTTATTTTTAATTAATGCAGTTGTTGAATTAGGGATAATTCAGCACGGATGAAATTAAGCCCAAGTTTAAAGATCGGTGCAAAACACTTTGTCTTCACTATGAAACTAAGACTTATTATCAGATACTCCCCAATGGAATGCTCAGTGTTGCATTCTTATCACTGCATTTGGTGGATGGTGATTTAATAAGATGTAAGCTACCCGCATGGTCCAAAAATAAGAGATGTCATATGAAGTTAAAAACATTCATTGAAGTTTCTGCCATAAGACTTAAAACCAGATATTAATAATGCCTGCTTTACCTGTACTAAACCAATGATTTGTTTATCCGTACTAAAGCAATCCCTGGTTCACCCGTTTCGAGTTTAGTGTGTTCGGTTCACCTCCCATCTCTAGTATATGGACCCAAGGGGCGGTGACCGTAAACATTATGAGCACCACTACACAAGAGTATTTCCGCACTTTGTGAATCAATACCTTAACTACTAATTCCCTTTTTAAATATTTTTTTATCAACTTCTATTTTGAGTGTTTAGGGCAAAAATCCCACTTCATGTCAACCTATCGAGCTGAAATTTGACACATAGAATCGTTGCAGATGACAACACATTCTATTCACATTTTCATCTCCATTCCAAAAAAAATAAAATAATAATAAGTATTTCCTGTTTTTCAAGGGGAATGTGAAGGAAATATGATGGCACTGATTTCATGAAATAAAATTCCCGACTGCGCTAAAGTAAGTGAAATACTTTTAAAAAAATTCTTTTAAAAGTAATATCAATGAAGAGAGCAAGTGTGTTGGTTGCGTGATATTT